AGTAAATCTAATTTAGACTTTTAATTACCTTTCAATGATAAATCTATTGATAGCGTTATTGGTAATTTTATTGATAACTCTTACTAACTCTATTGCATGTTTCACTTGTTTTTTATCTTTAGTTTGGATAGGGGTCCCAAAAACGCTATTAAATTCAAAATTTGATAATTATATCAAATCTACAAGTCTATAAGCATATAAGAATATAAGCCTATAAAACATAATCTTTCTTATTATATATCTTATATCTTGAGCTCAACTAAAATTGTATGTCATATTTCTTTAATTTCTAAAGTCTCCAAATTTCAATTTAATTTAATTTAATTCTCTAATCAATTCTTTCCTTGAGTAAATGATATTTTATTAATGTTAGAAAAATATCATAGAGAAGCTCTTAATTTATAAAATAAACATATTGTTTCCAATCATGTTTCATAAATTCCTTGTAATTAATTTATTGATTTTTCAGATTCCTCTACTTAATGTTCATATATTAGCTATAACATGGTTTATTAGTGCATAGCCTATATTAGTATATAGCCCACCTCATTTTATATACAAAATTTGTTTATATTTAATTGTATACTTTCTTTATTTATTAATTAAATCTTTTAAAATACGAGTGTATAAAATTTAATTATAATTGTATTATAAAAATCTAATCTCTTCTTTAGAATTTGAATTAATATAAAAGTTATTATAGAAATAGTTTTTTTGTAATAAAAATCGTAACAATTTCTATTTCTTTTGAGAATATAATAAGAAATTTCATATTAAAACTATATGTTCAAAAAACTAAATTTTATTTATTATTTAATATTTATTATTATTAAGAAAATAATAATTAGTCATTAAAATATGATTATTAAAAAAAAGCTTAATTTTGATGCATTTTGGAAGTAGGCTATCTACTGATATAGGCTATGCACTGATGAACCACATTATATAGTTTATTTATAAATTTTCTAGATTAATCAGCTTCCGCTTATAAAACTTGTTTCGAATTTTATACAACAGAATATAACTAGTATAGATTTCATCTTTGAATGATTGCTTAGGCTTTACTATTATGTTAAAAAAAACTTATTTGAGAACTTTAAAAATTATCTGACTTAAAACTATAGAAATAGTATACTCATATCTATTAAATTATCTTTTCATATTGAATTTGATTATTCCAATACGGTATAGTATATTGATTGTTAACTTAAACCTTTTCATATTAAGAGCTATATTAAATTAGGATCTAATTACTTTTGAAAAAAGCTCGTTTTATTTATCGTGACTTTATATAATGAGATAGTAAGATTAGTACACAATTGATTAGTAGCTTACTCGAATTTTGCATTGAACTTTGAAGAAACAAAAATATCTTGATTTGTATCAGTTTAAAAGAAATTTTCAAAAAATCTTAGAAATTGAAATTCTGTATCCTTTTATACAAGCTTTTTCTCAGCCCTTTGTGGCTAAAAATAACAACAGTCTTATTAACACTCTCCATAGTCAATTTTAATATTATTCAAAATCTATATCCATACTTATATTATACAGCTTTTCTAATAACAGAATTTAAAAAGCCTTTTCATTATTCATTATTTTCAAATAATAATTTTGAAGCTATTCAAATCCCTTGAATCTTTTGAAAGAGAGTCTATATACTAAGTAATATAAAATAAATCCAATTTAAATTCTCATAATAATAAAACTAATAATAAAATAATTATCCACATACTTCACTTGCCTCTCACTTCAAACTCAAATAGGAATACTGAAGATATCATGAATCCTAAAAAATCAATTAAATCAATTAAATCAATTAAATCTAACAAATCTAACAAATCTAACAAATCTAACAAATCTAACAAATCTAACAAATCTAACAAATCTAACAAATCTAACAAATCTAACAAATCTAACAAATCTAACAAATCTAACAAATCTAACAAATCTAACAAATCTAACAAATCTAACAAATCTAACAAATCTAACAAATCTAACAAATCTAATAAATCCCTCTCCCTTTTCTAATCCTTTTTTTCTTTCTAACTCCCTTCTCTTTCTAACCCCTCTCTCCTTTTTCTAATTCCTTTTAATATTCCTGATCTCTCTTATCGCAAATCCCAAATCTCCAAATTAATTAGAAATATTTATTCAATTCTTCAAAAGCTTTAAATCCTCAATTCATTTATTTAATCCATTCTTCAATCAGTTAAATTATAGCTTATCAATAAAAAAGTATATCATTAGAAAACTCTCAATTCATAGAATCTTATAATCAATTTCAATTTTATTTTATAAATTCTCCACCCTTGATTCATTAATGATTTATTGATTCTTGAATTCTAGTATTTTCATATTTGCACACAAAGCATCCATACTTTTTCTCGACCAATTAGCTTCCAGTCATGAACCAATTTTTAAATCCTGTATATTAGGGATAGAATCTTTCAATGTAATATGAGGAATTTTATTTAACATGGTTTATCATTGAGTAGGCTATATCATTGAATTGGCCACTTTGATCTCAATCAATACCTTCAATTTAAATATATGTTTTAGTAACTATCCATTTTATAATCTAATAATAAAAAAGAATATTTACTTCTAACTATTAAAGCTATTTGAAAAAAAAACAAGAGACTAAGTATTTAAAGATTCTTTTAATTATATAACATGTTTTATACAATATTCAATTATAGAATAAATGACGTACCGTTTTGTATCAAAACTCAAATAAATCAATATAATTTTATGAAAATAAAAGAGAAAGTGATTATTGAATATATAAATGATTTGAATATAAAAGGGGTTTCATTTAAAACTAAAGACATAAAAAATATAGTAAATTATAATTTTAAATCAAAAGATATCAAGTATTATAAGGAATGAAGGATATGTTTTAATTCTATCTATTAGTTTCAACAAGTTTTTTATAAGGATTTTAAGCTTATTAAAAATTAATTCCAATTAACATTGAGTGTGAAAGCAATAGTTGGGATATTAGATTATAATATATATAATTTCAATAAAATAAGCTTTATAATAAAAATTTAAATATTAATATAATAATTACTACTATTAAGAGCAATAATAAAAGTAAAATAATATGATTTAATAATTGAGAATAAGTAAAAGTAATTATATATGATAATAGTAATAATATCAAATATATATTTATTATCATATACAAGCTATTTAATTCAGCCTTTCAATATTGTTGTATTTTAATACCCTAAAACAAAAATGTAATACTCAAATTAAAAAGCTTATAAGAATACATATCAATTATACTTTAAAAATCGAATTCATAATTCTTAAAACTATATATCAATAATCAATTACAAATAAGAATATAAAAACTAGATTTTTAGAAATATAATTAACTCTATTTAATTCTAAAAGAACATTTTCTAAATTAGATATTTGAATTTATATAACGTAGTTTAACACTGAGTACACCATATCACCGAATTATACTACTAATTTTACATACAAAATACATCTATATATGACTATACACTTCCTTTATTTATTAATATAATTTGATTTTTTACAAAAAACTATTATATTTATTTATGTAAACAAAACAAAAATTGAATTATTTATATAAAAATTAGATTTCTAAGAAATTGAAAAATTATTATTATTTTAAATTCTTTTCTTCTTCAAAAAATAATAATTAGTTAATAAAATAAGAATATTTAAAAGTGACTGATTTTGGTGTATTTTGGAGTAGTGCATTGGGTGATATGGTGCACTCGGTGTTAAACTATGTTATCTATTTCTTTTTTTATTTAATTTAGATCTCTAAGTCTCTCAAATTTCTTATAGTTCTATAAAAACTCTTTCTTAATTGATATCAATTAGATCTTATATAGCTTATTATTGATCAAGTTTCTTATATATATATTTGAGATAATATCAAATTTAGTTAAAAAAATTAAAAAATTAATGTATAAGAATATACTTGTAAATATTAAGTAAATATTAACATATAGAAAAGAGCCTAATCCTATTAAGAAAATATAATTATTAAATAAAAGGCAATAAAATATTATTTTAATAAAACAATAATATGTAGATTTAATATAATAAATACTGAAAAAATATCTTAATAAAGAAGTATTTTCTAATAAATATTATAACGACGTAGTTTATTAGTATATATACTATTTTATATATAATTATATACTTTCTTTATTTACTAATATATTATAATTTTTATTATAAATATTATATTTATCTATATAAATAATATGAAATTAAATTATAATGTTAGAAAATTAAATTAGAAAAAGAGTTATTTAGAGAAATAGGGTTTTATAATACAAATACTTAAGTTTTTTATATATTCTACTTTTATTTTATATCAAGAAAGGGTTTTTCCGAAAAGAATAAAAAATTAATAAAAGACTAATCTTGATATAATTTAAAATAGTATATATATTAATATAGTATATATACTAATAAACTATACTGTATATAGAAAACCAGATTATTATTCAAGAACTTATTAAAACAATCTAATAAATTCTAGTTTATTAGATTCTTAATTGTTTCAACTAATAAATTCAATTATTATTGAATAATGTAAATTTGAATATATTAATCGAGATGAAAGTAGTGTATTTAATAATATACTCTATTCGATAATAAATTACGTCATATTTATTAAATTATATACAACTAATCAAATAGAGTAATGATTTTTTACTGTAAAAACATACTCCGATAAATGCGAATAGTCTAGTATAATATAAAACATTATAAGATAGAGGTTCTCAAGGCGAAATACAATAAAACCTCGAAAAAAAAAATGTATTTCCTTATTACTCGTCGATTCACTACTATTTCACTCCACGCACATGAAAATATGAAGTGGTACATGAAGTGGTATTGAAAGGCAAACAGTGATAAGGTTGTTAAAGTTCCTGTCAATCGTCCGAGATGACATTGTCCTTTCTATAATCTACTAAACACTAAGTCCCAGAACATTATTCCTATTCGATCCTCTTCACAACAAACTCAACAATCGCCACTGCATCTTCCCCCCAAGCACCATCTTTAGCACCAAATGCCATCTCCTCAAAGGATCTCATCCATGCCTGAGTTTCCCACTTTGTCCCCGTCTCCTGTCCAACCTGATCCCATACTTTCTCAAAAGATTCCGGGCTGTGTCGCCACATAGGAACGACGAGTGACTTCAGAGTTACTTCTTGTGCTTTGTAGTTTCCAATCTGATTTCCTACAATCACGGGGCCAGGCCCTTTGGTAAATGTAATCAACTGTTTGGCTGCTTTGACTTGTCCTTCTCAATCCCATTGATGAATCGCCTGTGTTATTGCGATAATACCCACTTGACCTCTCAATGGCGCCAGTACTTCGGACTCGGATACGATATCCGCTTCGATGAACTGTGCAGAAAACCGATCCCGGTCGCGGAACAAGTTGTATCCCATATTCCAATGGCTCACAATATCGATAGCATAAATTTTGTCTGAGGGCGCACCGTTGTAGACTAATCGTCAAAGGTCATGTCCAAGAAAACATTTAACATCCATTAATGTCTCACCGGCCTGGATCCGCTCCAGAATCTCAGGATACACAGGGTTCCGGCAGAGTTGAGGTACAAGCCATGCACCAACCCCAGTGCAAGGGTACGCGCGAATGTCCCAAGCTTGGTCACGCTATAAGATAGAATAGAATTGGAGAAACACCAGATGAGGAAAGAACGCCTTACGATTTCATGAACATGCTTGGATTGCTCCTCCGGTGGAATATGGCTATACTTTCCCAACAGTTGTCTTGTCTGCGTTTCGGAAAATGTCAGTTCGTTGGAAGACCACCGCCTATCTTCAAGGATCCGAGAGCATTATTTCATACCTCAGGAATGAGCTTCGCATCAATATTTGGTAGATAGAATGAGAACTTGGCTCTATCGACTGATCTTAAATATCCGGGCTCTAAGTAACTTAATATATCACTTGCTGATGCCATGACGAATGGCCGAGCTATCTTGAACGCTCTGATTGTCCTCCTATGTAGATTTGATGGTGCAGAAGCGAGGAGTACAATAGACTTACATAGTGTGATGTGATACACAGTCAGCCAACAGTTGGTTGTATGTCACCGCTGCTGATGGTGAAAGATCCACTATGTAAGCGTGTAATACAAAAAGTTGACTTTGCACTCCATTGGATGAAAACAGAAGCGATGACGAGCCACTTCTGCATTAATGTCACTAAACAGTAGCCCATCTTTCTGCAGTAGTCTAGATCTGAATGACTCGCCAAAGAAATCATATAACTGCAGAGAACGTAAGTGGGATAGTCGGACTAGATGGATGTACTATGTATGCCTTGTTTGTTGAAGCTTTAGAAATTTCTCCTTCGTTGTAGCAGAGATCCGCCCCTAATTAAAGACCCTTAGGCTTGTCGAGCCGACGATATCGGACTCAACATTGGATCGCTCAATAATGTGTTGGAAAATGTCTCCATCTCAATCGAGTGCCTACTCAGTCTTTCTCGTTCTCATACATGCCCATGCTCTAGTCTGGCAATGACCTAGGTTTATGCACGTATACAGGAGCAGATTTCTCGAAGGAGTTACGAAACACCTGTATGTATTTTCAATGCTAAGTCAAATGCTGTGTCTTTGTTCTCCAGACCCAACCCAGTGCTAATGCAGACTATTGTTGTGAAATGCGGGACAAATTTTATGGGCTCTGCCTGTAGTCTACAATATCTTCTAAGCATTCTATGATCTTGTAAGCTGAGTAGGTGCCGCAAGGAGGCTCTTGGTATGGATGCTTAGCCCAGTCCCAAGACTGAGGCAGTACTTCCTACTTGGCATAAGATTGTTATTCGGAAACGTTAAGAGAAGGTCAAATTTCATCACACTTAAGCGAACCGGGCTGCGCTATAGCTTGCCTATATCATCCAACCTCTCATTGCCATAACTCTTACTTCCCTCGTTTCAATTGCCCAATTAATGCACTATTTGTTCTTTACTCGCCGACAAAGCCTGCACAGTATACATCCAAATATGTATTTTGCTAGTAGCCTGGGTGGTCTCCTTTTTATTACAGCGATGTTGTTAGAATATGGATGCGTTCGGAATACTTTGCCAAAGACCTTCCACGTGCAAGTGGATTATGAGAATTACAAATACACCCCGGTTGGACATGCGGTATTGGATGATGCAATTAATTTGATTGTGATTACTACTATCTTGATTGTGATGTGAACGTGAAACTCGGCGGTGAGTCGGAAAATCGACATGTTGCTTACTCTTTGCTGTGCTTGTTGTGAGTTTGATATCCATGTGAAGAAGCGTAGTGCTGGCAGCGTTCCCGATATGCAAATAAGCGGGAAGTGCCCGTTGTGAAAATTTTGTAAAGCATCTTTACTGTGAGAGAAAAAGACAGCTCGACTATTCTCACATCATCACAAACTCTAGCATCTCATGAGCCCGCTGTAGTATCTTTGAAGCTTGAGTCATGTATACAAAAGAACCATCAACGAGCATAGAAGTTTAAGCTGACTACGAAAACATGTCTAACGATAAATGCGACGATTTGATCATACGTCGAATCGGATGTTGAAGTAGGTGCACCTTGCCTTCCAATACTTGACCCCATCCTTGACCATCGGATTTCCCGAGGCCTAATGAACATTGCTCCAATAATTCATATCACTTGTCTAATCGAATGTTCAGATTTGTCACTTTAGTTCAACCATGAACTCAATGAGAATACTGGCTTAAAAGCTGCGAGAAGCATGGCCGCGGGTACGTGGACCTGTGAGCTGGTTCCTCTATATAGTAGAAAAATGAACATAGAAATACAGTGAAATGAGTGCATATTTCGCCATTTTGTGAGTGAAAATAGGTAGAGTGCAGAATTGGACTGCTTTATCTGGAGGATTCCTAGAAATCTGATGTCAACAAAGAGTCAACATTCACACAATGACCTAAGGAATACATTCCTCCTCGACATGGAGACTTTTCAGCGACCTGTACATTCATTTCATTTCCCCTACCCAGCTCTAGTCCAAGCTAGATAATCATTTCAATTTGTGGGCACGTAAGAATGAGAATAAAGGTTTATTGAATGGAGTGTATATACATGATGAGGACGAAAGATCCTTTCGTTTTCCAGACAAATACTTACTAACAATCTCATAAAACGATCCTAATCACACTTAGATAGATCTAAGCTAGACAGGGATATTTAAACTTCCTCGCAAAAAAAAAAAGTCATGAATACAAATGTGTAACAAATACTCCTGCAATGTTCCGAAGACACTTGCTTGTTGCATCAATTCCGAATAAAATAAAATAGCCAAAAGGTATTTATCAAAATAGCCCTATACCACCCAACGAAATGGCTTTTAAACGCTTGCATCCTATGCATCAAATGAAGAATATCCCACTAGGAGCTGAATTCATAAGCCATTATAAACGCCTCAATACTCCATTTCCATAAACCCTAGTATTTCCATATAGTGGTATCCTTCTCAAATGGTACCGGTCGATTGGCTGTCTCTCGCGTCCCACTTTCTTTCGAGCATTTGTCGTTAACCTTAAATTCACTATTCACTATCTAGGAGCTGGTGTGTAGGGTTTGTATCCTGGATATGCTGGTGCCTCCGGCTCTGGTGGAGCATAAGGTTTGTATCCCGGATACACTGATGCCTCTGGCTGCTGTGGGGGACTTCTTGTCATACTCCTCTGCGCCCCGCGGTCGTAATTATCCTGTCCCTGTCCAAACACAGATTGTTGTTGCAGTGGTGGTGCAGGTGAATGATTGTTAAATCCTCTTTGTTGCGGACCACCATAACCTCCCACCTGCGGGCCCGGTGACATCATTCTATTCGGTCCATTTGGTCCAGGTCCCTAGAAGGCATGCGTGGGGGAGGATATGTACCGACATTGGAGGAATCATCTGATTGATAGGATTGATACGACTGCTCAGTGTTGTTGGTGTATGATCTTCCTTGGTTCAATGGCCTCGAGGAATCGTTGGAAAACTGACGTGATGGTTGGGCTGGGTATGGTCGATTATCGTACATTGGTTCTGCTTGACCGTATGCCGAGACTGGAGAATCATTGAAACCGCCACTGGAAATAAATTCTTGTGGCATAGTTGGTTCAAAGTCTTGATTCTGAGGTGGTCCTCCATATCCTCGGCTTGGTGCTGGAGAGGGTCCACCCCTAAATTGCCCTGGCCCACGATTCATTCCTGGGCCCGGTGAAGGTGCACCGCGATATCCTCGACCACCAGGTGGAGGCGTTCCTCTATATCCCATACCTGCATTTCCCATTCCGATTGCTGATCCAGGTCCTGGTGTCCCTCTGTATCCCATCCCATCTTGTTGATTACCCGGGCCCATTGGAGGCGGCGTTCCTCTATAGCCTATGAGCGGATCAATGGGCATTCCTGGATTCGGCGTTCCTCCTAGGCCATATCCTCTGCCCATTCCATTTCCTCCTAAATTGACTTGACTTTGGTTATATGGATCCTGTGAATTCATAAACCCATTGTTCATACCCTGAGGTTGTCTTCCATAAGGGCTTTCCCCTGGTCCAACCGCTGGGCTATTGGGATGACTATTGGCGACACCTCCGTTCATCAATGGCATCTTCTGTCCCGTGACAGGATCTAGCTCCTTCAATTCCATGCCCATATCACCTTTCTCATCATCATTTACATGTACTTTGCTCGAATTTTCCCATGTCGGCATAGGCGGTAATGCATCTTCTGAGATAGTCTTTGGCGGATCGACCGCGAGGCCATTTTTGCCCACTTCAAATGTTGCATATTTGGGGGGTTCGGGTCGTGCAGGAAGAGCGCCGCCCATCATTGGGGCTGGAGCTTGATAGCCTTGATTTGGGTTTGGAGGTGGATAATCGTCAAGATGTTTGTGAGGGCGGTCCTTTTTACCATCGCAACAGCCACCACAACAATCACAACATTTAAGAAAGGAAAAGCAGGTGCAACAACAGGACATGCCACAACAAGCACATCTTATTATACACCACGCTATGGAAAAAACGATCAAGCCGCCGATAATAATTGCTGCTATGACAGGCCATCTGGAGGTAAGGTGAGGTTAGTTTGAGTTTGAGTAGGGAATACCAATGGAACGTGCCAAGCGGGAAGGGGCGACGAACTTGCAATATGTAGCTGCCATACAATTTGACCATGAACTGAAAGAATCCTTCACACTCGAGACATCGCCTGTAATTGATCTTTTCCGCAAAAAGCTATCCACCAATATTTCTCCAATTCCCCTCCTCCTACTCCACTCCATCGCTGTTGTAATGTGTGGCATTGTGAAATACAATGTTGGCACGCAATAAATTCTAGAAGTCGGAAAGTGCCTTTGGGTGGCGTGGTAGGACTTGATTCTCAAGTTTGTTGTATGCGATAACTTGAACTGTGTGTCGCAAGTGAGTAGTCCCTTTGGATGACACAAGATTTGTTGCTGGTTGGTAGTTCCAGTTATTTGTTGATCCTCATTTGATTTGGATTATTCTGGGTCCTATTCCTTCCTTCCAAAGCAAACTCTCAGGTTTCCCTACTCTGTGTTTCCACCATCAAATTCCCCGTCTGTTTTAATCTCTTGAGTCAATCTGTTGACTCTGGTGAATCAACGTGCTATTGAATCTCCGAAAGGGATTTCTTCTGGTGACTGTGAGATATCAATTCCAACTCCAATTTCTCCCATTCATTTCTACCAATCCCCTAGTCAGTTTCGGAGACTTCGAAGTTGTTGCTAAGTTTTCGGACTCAATTTTGGGAATGAAAGTCGTCTCTCGTCGCAAAGAATTGAAAGAGAAGCCAAAGAGTTTGTAGGAATGAGTGAAGGATTTTTGGATTATTTTAGGTATCCTTATTAAGACGCGCAAGAACAATAATGCAATATCAACAAGAAGGATTGAGTTGCCCTCAAATTCGGACGGTAATGATAGGTGAAACGAGAGTGGACAAGATCTTGGACATCTTGGATTGTTACAGAGAGAGAGTGTGTGGTGGATAAGGCAGGGCAGGGCAGTGCAGGGTAGTGTTTAATTTGAAGGAAATTGTGGTTTGTTGGAGGTCATGTATATGAAGCCCAAGCTTTTTTCCCGGGCTATCTCTACGCTATCTCACATTTTCAGCTTATTTGAATCCACTATTGGCCCCAAGTTCCTTAATCTGAATCAGCCTGATGGAGGGTTTTGATTTATTTGCAAAGTAGTCTGCATTGATGGTTGATGGTAACACATTCATAGATGAGGGAGTGAGGGAGTGAGTGTGTGAGTGCATAATAGGAGGTCATGTCTATGTCATAACTATCATTCTTATGTTCATTGATAGTCATCTACTTTTCCCCTCTTCACTTCTCTTTCCTCACTCCATTTACGGATCACTCCATTCATTTATTTCCTCTTCCCTATCACATGATTTACATCATAATCCTCATCATCTCCTCCAATCATCAATCACAGCCGAAATGAGACAATCGGGCATTATGCCCACTTTACTCCAGCACGCACTCCACTCCACTAATGTCAGGGGTTAGAATTTTGATGTGCCTTTTCCCGACCTTGGCGCCATGGCATTGGTGGCTGATGATTATGGAAGAGTCGCCCTCAGGAATGATGATCGTTATCACGTGCTTTTCAGAATATTGGTTGGTTCGCAAGCTCGAGGTGAATCGGGGCGCAGTTATCAAATGATGTTTCGAGAGAAGAATAGGCGACCTATTTATTCCATACATTTTGTCGTTATAGAGATCATGAGGAGATATCTATTGACCATTGAATAACTACAAGTAACACGCAAAATAGACACATCGAATCCCCGCAGACATCTTAATTGTGAAAAGCTATGAGATGTCCCCTCAGTGGTTATGCTATTCAAGACCTTGAGGCTGAGGAGTCACACAGTAGTTGTCGTGGTGTAGTAATACAGGATGTTGGGGCTGCCTTACAGTCGTAGATACAGCTAGCTTACACCAAAGGCTTCACAAGGCTATGAAGTCTATATGTCATTCTCGTGCTCTCGTCTCCTGCTCAGAGTCAACAGTCCTGATTATTTAATCGATGTTCATGTGGAAGTGGAAGTGGTGACGGGTATTGATCTTTCGAGCAATGTTGTCACCTTGGACGTACTTTGATAAAGGTACTATCGAGGCTTCTTTCTGTTCTCAAGAGTATTGAGTGCTACTAGCAAATATTTGATGCATGACCTGCCCTTTCTTTACTACTCTGTTCTGTTTTCTCTTCCCTCTGCATTCTTGTTGGTTAGGCAACTTCCAAGGCTGTAGGCAGTTACGCCCAAATTCGGGATCAGATGCTTTGCGCTAGTACGCAGAGTGTCAAGCAAGTTCTGCTTGGCATGAGAAGATATTGTTATTGAAGAACCTCATTTCTTCTATTCGAACTGCCTTAATATATTGCATTCATGGAGCAAGCGGTTATCATCTCGGACCACTCCCCGCCTTGATTCAAAGTGACCAATCTGACGTGAAGCTACTTCACTCCTACAAAATGGAAAGTTAGAAAGTGTGGTCATTTCGAGAACTTGGAGAAATCCTGTGTGTATCGCCAGTATACCCAAATAGTGCACATATATTCCCATTCCACCATTATTATGATGAGAAAGTAGCATTTGAATGCGTACAATCTGCTTCAAGGTAATTATGCTTGGTAAACATTTGGATTTAATCGGTGCGGGATGTCTAAGTAACACCTGCCCTCGAATAGTTACTGTATGCCCGGCGAAGCGCAATACAAGGTTTTGTCTTCATCATCTCACATTTACACGTGAGGGGCTGTGTTAAAAATTTTGATCGAGGAACTTGTACGATGTCTATACGTGTGCCTGGTACACAAGCTGGTCACCAGAACCCGAGCTCAAATCAGATAATCACATTGGCCGGGAATGTGCTCACCTTAATCTATCTACCCAGTTGTCTACTTCTCTTGGGTAATTGAGATATGGAGTTAGCAATTCAATCAATCTACAGTATTCCACCAGTTATGAGATTCTTTGAAGTTGACATTTGGCAGCAATTCGCCAATTACACGAAGATCAGAATGCTTAACTTTGACCGCTCATGTTTCACAAATTTGATGTATTCCGGATCTTCGAGCTGAGCTTTGCAGTCGTGTGTCCCCAAAGCTTCTATCAAGCATTCGCAGATCTAAGAGCTGGAGCATTTATGACCTGCACTGGATTCCCTCATCACTCATCTATTATTTCAGTCTATTGACTTATCAATTCAATTGATATGGCTGGATTACCCTGATGCCCCTCCCTTTATTTTCTAATCTCCAAGCATTTCAGACGTTTGAGTACCTCTTTCCTTTCACCTCTCTAATTTACACAACTTTCTCCAGCTTTAACTAGCTCCTACCTGCACCTCCTGACCTTAATACCACTGCGTTCAACACGCCTCTCTCTTCACCTCTCTCTTTTCACTCTATTGCGCTTTGGAAGTATCGCGGTCTAATCTCCAATTGGTTGGCAATAACTAGAAGAGTGCTAATCAGTCTAAGTTTTGTTGCATATCTGAAAGAGTGTATCGTCTGAGGGGTACAAATTCGAATGGATTGAAACCTCTTCTTCCAACGATCTTGAGATATGCAACAAGACTGGACTGAACCCCTGACCTAATCTTTCAAAATAAAGAGATGACAATTTTTGTTGTGTATCTAAAAGAGTTAGTCGAGGGGTTCCAATCCAAATCGATTGAAGCCTCGTCTTTCAACGATTTCGAGTTTTGTTATATATCTGAAAGACTATATTTTCTGAAGAGTCCAAATCCAAAGGGATTTGGACTCTTCACCTACCGATTTTGAGATATGCAACAAAACTCTCACTTTCTTATTTCAAAAAGCCAGATCAGGTATTAGATACCTTGAGTTTTGTTACATATCTGATACTCTTGAGAGGGTTCTTAATCCAAATGGATTGAAACCTCTTATAACAAATTTGAGATCTACAATAAAACTCCCACTTTTTTTCTTCAAAGAATGAGATTGGATATTTAGATTTATCGTGTATCCGATTTTAGATACTTCAATGCTGGAATCTAACTGTAGCATTACAATCTATTACCAATTCCTCCTCAGATACGCCACAGAGCTTTCTATTTCCATTAGATCCAGAGGAGCACGATAACTAAACATCAGTATCAAAAGGTCCGGAGACTTCACTTTGTTACACACCTAATCTCATTCCATTTTGGAGCGTTCGATTTTGGAATCCAACTCTAGCGTTACAAACTCTTTCCGCTTTCTTCTCAGATTTTCATCACATTTCCTTCAATCTGGAGATTTCAATTACGGAATCTAACTGTAACGATACAATTTGTCGTCGTTTGTTTCTTCCTAGATACGCAACAAAATGTTTTGTTTGCGTCGACTTCGAGAAAAGGCGATTGGATGTCAATACTATAGAGATAAAGATTTGTTGCACATCTGGTATTAGACAATTCAGTTTTAAAGCTCAACTGGATGGAGCCTTACAAATTCTTTTTGTTATAAAGATACAATACAATAGACCCTTTTACTTCCTTCATTTCCTTCACTTTCTTCTTTTTTTTGAAATCTAACTGCAGCGTTACAATTTCTCATCATTTCTTCCTACATACGCAGCAAAACTTTCTCCCTACATCGTATCGTATCGTATCGTATCGTCCCCATTTTCAAGAGAAAAGGTAATTGATCGATTGATTGTATATCAATACCACAGATATCAAAAATTCATTACACACGATTTTAGATTTTAGATAATTCAGTTTCAAAGATCAACTCGAGTACCATAACCTCTTTCCATTTCCCCTTTTTGAGAGAGAGAGAGAGAGAGATACCACAACCCTCTTCATCTCCTTCAACTATGAAAACTAATTGTACCGCTCCACTCCAAACTCTTTCCATTATTCTCAAATAGACAATAAGAATTTCTATATCTATTTTCTTCAGTGCGGAAGAAAATATTGATTGTATATAATTAAAGAAAAAGAAAAAGAGAAAGAAAAAGAGAACCAAAATCAAAATCAATGTCAAAATCAACAAACCTCGTCTAAAGATAGGAGAACGGAACGAAATGAAATGAGACAAATCATATCGCATCGCATCGCATCGAATGAGAATACACATCATCAATTGCAAGACAATATACCATCCCTACCTTACCTCGAGCAGAGACGCGAGTATCCCATTTTCAAACACATCATCTATTTCTCCTCTACATCTTCCATCCCACAACAGACATAAGCACATCGTCCATTCCAAAGCTCGAAATCACAATCAAGATCCCATCCCATATTACTCAAACAATACAACACATACTTGCAACGTGAATATGATAACTCGTGTATTTCTATTTATTTACCATTTCCAATCCCTTCATCCCTGAATTATGCGTTGATTCATTGCCATTGATCGATAGGAAACCTCCAAACTGGTGAGACCCGTTCCAAACTCCCTTCCTTACAGATTACCTAGCACCAAAGCCAACCCCGAACCCAAACCGACGTCAATGTGACCTTAAAACGACTAATTCCAATCCATCATTCCTTACTTCTTTTCATCATCCCCGCAATTCCATGTCCCTTCCACTTGCGCATCGTTGCAACCGCATCATGTGGCATCGTGACAATTGAAATCCCCACCAATCGCTTCACCACTGCGCAAGCGAAGTGCCCCCCTAACGCGGACCCCCCCAAACAACCGTCTGACTTTCATCTCATCTGAATTCATCGAATGATTCCATCTCCCTCGGTGTGTTTTGTAGGTGGTGGACCCATTGGTGCTTGGTAAACATCATCTCCGCCTCTCGTATAGGCATTTGGTGGTTGTTGCAATTCGATATCTGGTTGACCATGTTGACCATGTTGACCATGATGTCCGTAATATCCATCATTACTATTAAAAGTGTTGCCCGTTTGTTGAGGTGGGATTTGTCCATTTGGAGTATACATTGGGGGAGGGGGACCGTAGTTGTAAGCTCCGGCCTGGTTGTTGTATTGACCGTATGGAGGTGGCTTGGCCATCCAGCCTGTACCATACATTGGTTGGATTCCTTGACGACGACGACGACGGGAGTTGATGCATCTGGTGGTATATGTTAGTGGGTATGAAGGGAGAATGTTGAAGAAAGGGATGTGATCTGGCGAGCCATATATGAGCTCGATAAATAGGTACGATCAAAGTCGTGCCAGTGAAGCATATTGGAAATAATCATAACTTACGATAAACCGAAAGCCAGAAGAACAAAGGCAAGAATTATGAGAACTAGTACAACCCATCGTCCCCAACTGCCCCATGTAGAATAACAGCTTCCATAGTATTCGCAGCTGTAAGCCATTTTATTAGTTTAGTCACTGATATCTCCTGTTGGTGTTGCGAGGATGTGTTGCAGAGTTGTAAATAGGTTGAAATATGATTATGTAAATATTTGGATATTGGAATGTTGCTCGATGTAACAAATGATGGAGAATTACAGAGGTTGTGTATGTGGAAGTCGATCGTATTTCGCAATAATCACAGCTCACAGACAACAACAAAGAGAAATAGAGAGAGGTTGGGTAGAGGAAAAGTAAGAAATTAAGGAAATTGACTTACTTATTATCGACATCATCATCATCAAAGTTATTGCTTTGCCTCTTGGCAATCATCTGCACGAGCACAGCCATGATTTCGTTGGTAATATTCGGGGTAATGTTCAGCTGGTTTTGGGTTGGTACAGCAGGTATTAATTACAAGGAAGAGAGCTTGAGGGAATTTTTCTTCTGTTTGATTGAAATCCTTATCGTGGCAAAGAGGATACGCGGCGATGGGTTCTTTTTTTTTTTGGCGGGGTAAGCAAGATGATCCGGAGTGAATTAATTGTCTTTGATGTGTGATATATCGAGGAGAGAGGATCATGAAGCAAAAGAGATTGAATAGGAAAGAGAAGGAGGAAAGAAGGAGAAAGAGAGGGAAGGAGAGACGGTGATATCGAGAAGATGAGACAATTATGGTAGATGGTTGGATCTTTTTAAGTCTTTAGGCAGGTACCGGTACACGATATGAAAAAGCAAAAGAAATCAATAGCTAAGAGACATATCAGCTAAGGGACCTGGGACCTGGGACCTGGGTAGTTAAGGACTAGATAAATAGCTTCTTTGGTGATAGGTACGAGGCTGTGTTGAAAAAGTAAGTCAAACTCGGGACTCGGACTCGGACTCGGATTGGTTTGGATAGATAGAGAGAGATATGTGTGAATTGTCAATATGGATCAAAGACGAGATGTTATATATATATATATACATCCATCCATCAATACACTCATCTATACACTCATCTATACACTCATCTATACACTCATCTATATACTCATCTATATATATATACATATATACATCCATTCATCTATACACATATATACATGTGTATATACTGATTAGTATATGTACAGATGGATGTACAGATGGATGTACAGATGGATGGATGTATATATCACATCACATTGATCAATCGATTACGTCGATGTGGATCTCTCTCTCTCTCCCTTCGTACTTCGTATTCGTCACATCCCCGAACATTCCGGATCACGAGAGAAGGGAGAGAGGTGAAGTTGCACTCACTGATTGCCGTGAGGGTTGGGTAGATACGTAGTAACCTGGTCGCATCAACCTCAAGCCTTACATGGAAAATCCCACCGACTTACGTGTAACATAACATAGCATACCTAGATACTCGTAGATAGAAAGTATTCCAAATCACATACCTCTCATATCTAGGTATTGGCTGATGTAGAAAGAGATACCTACCTAGGTGGCAGTAACAACCTACTTCATTCCCTCTACGTATTGTATGTCAATTCCAGCTATGGATATCGCTGATAACCAGAGAGACCTCGTATATAAAATAATTCCAACAACCCCGTCTCATCCATACCAATCACACTCAACCAATATCAACATCAACATCAATTGGTCTTTTCCAAGAACCATCTATCCGTTCCCATCCGACTCGTTCATCCCACATGTTCCCAATCCCTTCACTTCTTAATAAGCTGACATCTTCACCCCCCAAGAAAAGCCGTCATGCTCAATCAAATTCCACTTTATGCAATAAAATTAAGATAAAGTTACTTGCCCAGTAACAAGTACCCAGTAACAACAACCCAGTAACCTCAAGAACTCAAACTCAAAGCTCCATCACAGCCCTGCCTACCCACGCAAACAATTTCTCTCCCAATTTCCCTTCAATTTTCCTTTTCCTCAAGCCTCGCTCAAGAATCCTTCCCCTTCCTCCCAATCGTCTCTGCCATTCTTTTTCTTCCATCACACCCCCCTCTCGCCAATCCATCCAATCACACCCACGAATCTATCCTCCATTCCTGCAAGCCATGGGCTATCCATGCCCGGTGCCAACGCATCAATCGTGCGGACTGTGCTTTTCTGAGAATTAAGGGCTGCCAGCGAAGCATGCGCGATGCATCTCTAAGCATGATTGTATGAAATGCCTGACGGTCCCTCTCCTCAGTTGTTTCTTTTCTTCCCTCCCTTCCTCCCTCGATCCTTTTCCCGTCAATGCCAATTGTCCAGGGAGCAACTCGATGTCTTCCCGTCGCTCGCCATTTCGGCTCATGGAAAATGCTCCCCGACAATTCAGTCATGATTGCGATTGCTATTGCTATTGCGATACACATTAGATACGATGCGCCGAGAAATGGTTACAAAATATGGAATACACCTAGGTGAGACACTCAGTACGCCGTGATGAACATTCGTATTCGCCTCGAACTCCTTCCCACCATGTTCAATGTTTTGGACAACTCGACTCGAGCCTCAAAGTACTTTATGGGTGGAGGGCATCCGGTCACGGAATAGGTTACGAAGGAGACGCGCGCATCTATGAATATTTGAACAGAGTCTTATCACGAAAGCTTAAATAAAACTCCGGAATAAGCTGAGCATTGGGAACATGTCACCGCGGACAAATTCTACACGAGTTGACAGCGCATATGCAGTTGATAGCAAGCCAACCTTCACTCGAACACATTTCAGACAGACACGGGTTTCCAACACACAAGACTCATCATCATCTATTACCTCGTTCTATCATTGCCAAGACGCGACATTGCCGTAACGTACCGCCGAAGATAAAACGAACTCATAAAACGTCTGAAGACTTTCCGGAAATCCTACAATCTACACTTCAAGACGATCGCATGAAAGATAAATGTTTATATATATATTGGGAAATGGAAAAATGCAAAGCACTCATGGAAATACGACTGGGCATGGAAGCGCAAAGTATGAATGTTTTAAATACAATGGTCCTTCTCCGATTATTTCAACACACAGGTGCCACTACCTCATTTACCAACTGGCACCATGCAACACGCTGGATGTCGATCCCAGCAATCCAACAACAAAGCAGAGGGTCGTAAATTCGTCTCATCGTAGCAGACATGGCGCATCCTACCCAGAAGAATCCAAGGAAATTTGATACATTTCTGTCCCGCTGTTCGGCTCACAGCAAATCGAAAACTAGAAGTCGAAGGGATCCTCGCCGATCGAGAAGGAAGAATTTGAAAATAATTAGAATTGGTTGCTGTGGGCTGAGGAGATATATTCGTGGTCCGCGAAGACCCTTTTCGAAGTTCGATCATTTATCATCCCATCTTTTCGCCATTTCATGTCGTTAATCGTCGTTAATATCCGGAAAATTCGTACCCGCAATACTCCATCCAAACTTCACGACAAGTTTTACTTGTTCTTTGATGATCCATCATCCACCCTCCGTATGCACTCTACTTATTCGCCCTTGCAACCAGCCATTGCAATACAGCATCCAAATTCGTCTCCTCCTTAGCACTGATCCCATAACAGCTCACCTCTCTATGCCCTACACTCTTTAAATCCAACCTCTCAATCAACTCGTCCACACTCAACTTGTTTTCCAAATCAGATTTATTTCCCAATACCAAAAGAGGTATCCCTTGCAAGACGGGTTTTTCTAAAAGCAAATGAAGCTCATCTTTAGCGATTGGTAAGGCATCAGGATCGGCAGAGTCGACAATAAACACAATAGCATTTACACCGCGACAATATCGCTCCCACATGGAACGAAAGCGGGGTTGTCCGCCTAAATCCCAACATTTGAGAGTGACATGACCTTTCTGGACACGCTTCATATTAAAACCAACGGTGGGAATGGAGCTATGAGGGAAAGTAAAATGTGGTCAGCTTGGAGCGGTTGCGCAACGTGGGGTCTACGAATATGCGAACCCCGCTTCGATGAAATGAAGGCCGTGATAGGAAGGTATATGTATCTTGTCTTGGATGTGAAGGAAAGGAATCATCGTACTCAAGTGTAAATTCTCCGCCCTGCACATTAACACCATCATCAGCATTTCCGCCAAAGTAAAAGGTTCAACATGGAAAGAAAAGGTGAGTGAAATTAGAGCTTACCGCTAGTACCCTTAACAAAGATGTCTTTCCAGCATTTTGCAAACCGATCATCGTAATGTCCATTTCCGTAGCCCTAAACGGCAGACCACGAGGTTAGTTGATGGAGAGCAGAAAATCTTATTGAAAATGCCTTGTTTTTGGAGGGTCGCTGTCAAAATGAAGATGTGCGCACAAGATCGACGTCTTCAAGCAACAAACAGATGGTAAGAAACATACCAGAAAAGCCGCAGCAACCAATCATACACTCGTCTGAATATACTTGCCATGATCTTTCAGTCTCTCTTGCACACCTATGTGAATTATTTGTTGTTTCGATGGAAGCCCTGGAGCTCTATCGCTGACGAGTATGTTATTTCGTCGATTCGCGAGGCTGTGCAGGTACGGTAGGGTAGGTATGTGAGGTTTCTGGACAAGAGGAAGATACAAGATTGCAGGGTTGAAGCCGGCAAAAGAAGTAGAGATGCAGTGCAGCCGCAGACCGTTTTTCCGTAAGTAAGCCAATGATCAGATAGCTACCCAATGTATATCGTACACCTCGTTCGCAGTTTCAATAAATGTCAAAGTGACTTGATGGTTTGTACAATCATGAAATAGTGAATGGCGAATGAATCGAGATTGAATGAGGGAAGTTGAGTGTAGTATGTATGGCGGATAGATTCTTCTTCTGGATGAAAAGGGTTCAATGTGACGGTGAAGGGAAGTTTAGCACACAATCGGTTGTAGCGCTTGTGATTCCCCTCAAAAGAAGGCTTGCACGAACCACTTCGGTAATGATTGCAAGATAGAGAGCAAGATTTTAAGTGATTGTGCGGTTGCGGGCGGGTAGGCGATAAGTACAGGTGGGAAGATGAAATGATGTACAGGATTGATTGATTGATTGATTGATTGATTGATTGATTGATTGACTGGTTGACTGGTTGACTGACTGACTGACTGACTGATTGATTGATTGATTGATTGATTGTCCGGTTAATTGATCGATTGACAAAATTGTATACAAATAGAAAAGAAATCACAACAGCCAGATGAAGTCAAAGTCTTTGTGAGGGTGTGGTACTGGGCTGCTGGATATTGTATTACAATCAGCAGTGGGAATGAGAGAATGGGTGTGGTCTGGTTAGGTTGGGTAGAATTGAGATGCTGGCTGCGTAGAACTATTGATACCGGTCGACAAGATGATGGAAAGTAGATGGATGAATGGATGGATGGATGGATGGATGGTAGGATGG